CATCTCGGCTGGGTTTACTGACCTCTGGACAAGATCTATTTGATTTGAATTACTGACTAAGGCATTGGCTATTTGGACTAGATATCCCCGTGAAAAGTTAAAATCAAGTTGGAGATAGTGATTTGGGAATATTTTACCAGTTGTTTAGGAAATCCTGGATTCTCATGTTGTCTACATTTATGACTTTGTATGCTTGCAAAGAAACTAAAAATTAAATATGTCCCTTCTCTGTGAAGTTTCTTTAAAATTCACATCTCCGATACATATATATATATGAATATATGTAAATAGCCAAGGAAGAGTTGGTAGCTTCCATTCAACATATTTAGCTGGATCTTTTCAACCAAAATGTAAATCTGCAATGTATTCTAATGTAACCCAATTAGAGCTACTAACACCATCTGTATATATATTTTTGGTTCAGCTGTCAAAAAACACACAAATACACCCCAGGAATACAATATTCAATAGTTGTATGATATTTCATTGTACCATACTTCATTTAACCTTTTTCCTATTTTTTTTTTAAGATTTTATTTATTTATTTGAGAGAGAGAGAGAGAAGGAATGGGATAGTGGCAGAGGGAGAGGAAGAAGCAGGCTCCCCACTGAGCAGGGAGCCTGATGCCGTGGCTCAATCCCAGGACTCCAGGATCACCACCTGAGCCAAAGGCACATGCTTAACCAACTGAGCCATCCAGGTGCCCCCTTCTTCCTATTTTTAAATGAACTAATTTTCACTTTTTTCCTTTTAGAGTTACTATTTTAGTGCATATTTTAATAGGTAAGTCTTTGTTCACATCTGATCTTTTTTGGAGGATAGATTATTAGAAGTGGAATTACTACAGCAAACAATATGCAGTTTTAAATTATATGTTTTTAAATAAAAGCAAACACATGTATTTAAAAAGCCAACTTTAAGGGACACCTGGGTGGCTCAGTCAGTTAAGCGTCTGCCTTTGGCTCAGGTCATGATCCTGGGATCCTGGGATCGAGCCTCACATCGGGCTCCCTGCTCAGCAAGGAGTCTGCTTCTCCTTCTGCCCTTCCCCCTGCTCATGCTCGCGCTCTCTCAAATAAATATATAAAATCTTAAAAAAAAAATAAAAGAAAAAGCTAACTTTAAGACTTCTAACAAAACAACCTAGTACTCCCCAGACCCTAACAAAACAACCTAGCACTCCCCAGAGCCTATCTGTTCTGTGTCCCTCTGTTTAGCTGTTTGTTCTGCTGTTTACCTTCAAACAGTGCTTTTCCTTGATTTTAAATTTCAGACATTATTTATTGATTCTACCATGAAAGGAATAATTACATTTCTTATATGATGAAACATATTCTTTTTCTCTCTCCTCCTCCCATTGATTACACTCTTTGGCTTCAATCAATATTCTGTATTTATATTTTTATGCTGTATAAATATTATTCTCTAAGCCACGAAGAGTATTATGTTGTATGTCCTTTCTTATACATTTAAAGTTTTTTCACAACAGCTAATAACTGCTTATCTTAATCCATATGTTTAGTGTGGCTGTTTTAAAACCTGGCCCAAAATTCTTTGACCTTTTTCCCATTGCTAGGTGAGTCTACAAACTGTTCTTGATTGTGGGTGGGCTTGTGAGTGTTTGATAAGAGTCGATGGAAATGACTCTGTGTGACTTCTGAGGCTGGTCATAGAAGAAGATGCAGTTTCCACCTTGTTTGCTGGAACATTTGTGTTTGGAGTTCTAGGCTGGCAAGTAAGAAATCTGACTATTCTAAGGCTGCCATTCTGCAAGGAAGCCAAGCTAAATGGAGGAACCATGTGTGAGCACTCTGGTTGGTCCAGCAACATGGTCTTGACATCCCAGCCCAGGTGCCAGTGTGAGCTGAGTCTCCAGATGATTCCAGTGCCCAGCACTGCTGAGTCACCTCCAGCCTGTGGGTCATTCCAGCTGAGGCCCCAGGCGTTATAGAGTAGTCATCTCTGTGTGCTGTCCAAACTCCTGACTCAAAATTCAAGAACATAATTACATGGTTATTTTAAACAGCAACACTTAGTTTTCCATGTATCTATTGTTAATTTGTCTTTAATTCTCAACACGGTCAGGGCGCCTGGGTGGCTCAGTAGGTTAAGTGTCTGCCTTCAGCTCAGGTCATGATCTCGGGGTCCTGGGATCGAGCCCTGCGTTTGGCTCTCTGCTCAGTTAGGAGTCTGCTTCTCCTTCTCTTTCTGTCCCTTCCCCCATTCATGCTCTCTCTCTCAAATAAATTAAAAAATATATATATATTTTTTTGAAGATTTTATTTATTTATTTGACAGAGACAGACACAGTGAGAGAGGGAACACAAGCAGGGGGAGTGGGAGAGGGAGAAGCAGGCTTCTCACTGAGCAGGAAGCCCGATGCGGGGCTCGATCCCAGGACCCTGGGATCATGACCTGAGCCAAAGGCAGACGCTTAACGACTGAGCCACCCAGGCGCCCCAATAAATAAAATCTTAAAAAAAAAATCCTCAATATGGTCAAGCACATTAGTTCCATTGTTTTCCTTAGAAAAATTTCTCCTAGAGATCTCTGTCCTCTTGTTCCAATCTGGACTGGAGGCATACCCATCAGCCTAGGACGAGCTTGGAGGAGAGACAGTGTGGCATGTCACTTGTTACTGAAGGATGTGAGCCCTGTGGCAAGGCTGCCTGGGTTTGCATCCTGGCTCCACTACTCGCTGGCTGTGTGACTGTGTGCAAGTTAATTTCTCATGCCTCAGGCTCCTCATTAGTAGAGTGCTTGGCACACAGTAAGTGCTCTTATTGTTGGCATTATTATTGTTTATTATTCTTCCTTTCATGTTGTCCCGGGAATTCCCACTGCCTCCAGCTTATGTCTGGATCCCCTAGTTCCTAGGTTCCATGTCTTTCTCTTTCTTGGTTACTTCCTTGTCTTAATAAAACACATCACCCAAAATACATCTCTTGAAAAAAGATGCTTGGGAGGTAAAGTTTTTCGAGACTTTGTGTATCTGTTTTGAATTGTCTTTATTTAACACCACACTTGATAATCTGACAGTCATAAAAGTTTAAGTTGGAAAAAAATTTTCTCTTTGAATGTTGAAGCTGTTAGTCCATTGTCTTGAAGCTTTCAGTGTCACTACTGGGAGGCCTTTCTGATTCTCGATCCTTTGTAGGGTAGGTTTTTCTTTTTCTTCCTAGAAGTATTAGGTTCTCTTTTCATCCCCATTGTTTCAAAATGTGATAATGATGAGACTTGGTGTGAGTCTTTTAAAATTAATTATTTAGGGCACTATTTCAATTTGGAAACTTAGGTCCTTCAATTCTCAGGACTTTTCTTTACAATTTTTTGTTGTTAATTTTCTCACCTCCATTTTCGGTTTTCTCTCTCTGGGACTCCTAATAAATATAGGATCTGTCGAATTGGTTCTCTAATTTTCTTATCTTTTCTGTTGACTTTTTGTTCAACTTTCTGGGAAATTTTCTCATTTGTATCTTCTATTCTTCTGATTTAAAAAAACTGCTTTCATATTTTTATATTTTATGATTCTGATTTCTTATTCTTGGATTGTCCCTTTTTATGTATCACATGTTCTTATTTCATGAATTTAATTTCTTTTCTCATTGAGTAGATTGATTATAGTGCTTTTGGAATGTTGTTCTTTCTTCACTGGTCTGTTTCCTCCAAGTTCTGTTTTCATCAGTTTGCTTTTGACTCATTCCCTCATGGCACAGGCTTTTCTCAAATTCCAGGGGTCTGGGGCGCCTGGGTGGCTCAGTTGGTTAAACGACTGCCTTCGGCTCAGGTCATGATCCTGGAGTCCCGGGATCGAGTCCCGCATCGGGCTCTCTGCTCAGCAAGGGGTCTGTTTCTCCCTCTGACCCTCTTCCCTCTCGTGCTCTCTGTCTCTCATTCTCTCTCTCTCAAATAAATAAATAAAATCTTTAAAAAAAAAAAAAAATTCCAGGGGTCCTCTATTACCTACTCTATTTCAGTTGGATATTCTGTGCACTTGGATACTCTGAGGCTTGTCAACTGGTGGGCCTCCCTGTAGGAGGCCTGGTCAGGGATATGACACAAGGGAGCCCCAAGCACCAAGGTCCATAGGTCTTTTCCCCTTCGGCTTGACAGTTTCCCCAGAAATGAATCCTCTCATTTTCTACCAGGTGAATATGAGGGATTTTAAGCTGGCTGATGGCATTTTGAAAGCCAATAAGGGAAGAGGGTTAGCAGAGGGAAAATCTTATCATTCCAAAAGCGGATATCATGTAGGCTCTCTTTGCTTTAAGCATGGCTGCCATCCCCACCCTCAGCTGTGTAGGCACACAGTTCCCCAAGTCCAGTCTCACATTAACCCAATCGATTAGAACCACAAAGCTAAATAAACTCCATGAAGTTTTAGGTAAAAGGTCAATACTTTATCATTCTAGAATTCCTGGATTAAAAGAAAATTAAAAAAAAAATTCCTTCTCATCTTTTATACCTTCTCTCCTGCAAAAAAGTAGGAAATTCACCCAATATAAGCCCCTTTTCCCCTCTGACTTTACCATGCTTTTTTTCTTTGATAATACCTCAGAATTGGAATATTCAGGGTCCAAGTTTGTTTTAAAATAACCCAATGAGCTGACAGACGGAGCTTCTGGAATTCTGCAGCTTGTGCTAGAGTCTGCAGATGGGAAATTGCCGTCAGTTAAAGGGTGGTGCTATTATCATAGCCCAATTTTTGAAAGCCTTTAGGGAAAAAAAAAAAAAATCCTCTGAGTTAATTAGCATCCATCACAGGAACTGGTTTTGTGTTGCAGTATTCTAAGAACTCAGATAATAAGAAAACAGTATTTCAATCCCTAACTTTTAACTAACATTTGCCTCTTAAAAATGCAGATTATAAAGTAAGAATGTTACCTGTTATATGAAAATGCTCTTATATGGCTTAGCTCATCATGAAATATCAATTATGTTCCAAAATCAACTAAATACTACTCTACTGATACCTAAGATAGGAATAATTTTGTTTTACCTCTCCAATCTGCTTAATCCACAAATCTCTTCCAAGAAACTCCTGATGTAAGACTATAGGAGCTGAGTTTAGATTAAAAGCCATGGAGTCACTGGTCTTTTCTTTAATAAAAGGCTGGAGATCAGAATTTATCTAGGAGAAGTAGTCAAAAGAATTAAATTAGTAAAATGCATACATACTAGTACGTTTTAGTCATTTCAGAAAGCACCAGTTAATGCAGTGAAAAATGAAGCTAAAGGAATACAGCTTTTAGATGAACTCTAATAAGCAAAAGAACAGTTCATATGATTAACAATAACCTTTAAAATTCTTTAAAATAATTTTTCCCTGACACATTTCCTCTTCTATCTGGCAGCAGACTTTGTTTTACTTTTTAAGTTAAAGCAATAATTTAAATAAAGTTTTAGTAAATGTAATTGCTTAATATTAAATATTAAATTTAAGATTTAATAAAATATATCAAAACTCATCTGGAGATATTTTACGTATCTGTAACATATGTATATATTTTCTCCTCTCTCAAGAGCTATTTAAGTAACATTTAAGAAATATGTGTCAAATGGAATTTTTAAGTTACATATATACAGAGACAGCAATATAACAGCTAACCTGAAACTTTTTATATTTCATAATGTCCATTCAAAAGAGTCAATTATTAGAATTAAAGCTTTCAATTTTACTCAGTTTATTTCTAAATCTCCTAACTTTCCATAATTTGTTTTACCTAAGAAACTGTACATAAGGGAACTGTAACAAAAATGCAAATATACTTTCATTCTGTAAATGGCAACATTACATGTTATTTAATAATTTGTAAGAGTTCTCTTAAGAACCCTTTCAGGTAGTAAGAAAAGACAAGCATCATAAATACGGTGTAAGTTGTCGCTTTCTATCAGAGTTACACAGTACTTACCAATCATACTGTTTATATTATGTAACAATCACCATCGATGGCTGATAGATTTTAAGTGCACAATAAACATTTTTTTTTGAGATATAAAAGCAGCTTATTAAACGGCAAGAAGTTTCTTATGTATCCTTTTAGCTATTTAAGTACTGGAAAAAGAGAAAATGTGCAAATACCTTATGACTCATGGCCATGTGCTTCCCATACTGAAATGCCATATCCTGAACGTCAGCATCATGCTTTGCTAATTCCATGGCAGCTTGGCAGCTCTTTGCTAATAAGGCTCCATGGGAGAGAAAAGTCTGTTTCTTCCAAGTCGATATTCCAATATCTTCTGTGATATGATTTTCCTAAAAAAAATGCAACAAAGCCAGGATTTTACAAAAATGCTTTAGGAGTAATTTAATTGTTTTGGCTTGTGAAGAATAGAAGAGTTAAGAAATGAACTATTTTAAAACACTCAGGCTATTGCATTAAGACAGAACTAAAAGAAGCTAAACCCTAGTGCTACCTAAAGGGAGCTAAGGAGGTGGGAACTGCTGTTCTAGGGTAATGGCGGGAAAAATATAAGAAATGCTGAAGTACTAGACACTTCTATTAAAATTTATTTGTAGGATAAGGCAAAATTAGAAACTTGCACCCCCAAACTAACTCCTTTCTATATTCACATAAGTTCTTGAGTGCTGGTATTCCAAAACACCAGAAGCTTATTGCCTTTAACTTATGTGGAAATGTCAAGGGCATAATGAAGAAACTGCATTCTCTTAGAAACAGTTAAATATGGGGCGCCTGGGTGGCTCAGTTGGTTAAGCGACTGCCTTCGGCTCAGGTCATGATCCTGGAGTCCCGGGATCGAGTCCCGCATCGGGCTCCCTGCTCAGCGGGGAGTCTGCTTCTCCCTCTGACCCTCCTCCCTCTCAGGCTCTCTCTCATTCTCTCTCTCTCAAATAAATAAATAAAATCTTTAAAAAAAAAAACAGTTAAATAAAAAAATCACAGAGGAGGTAACCCATTAAAATGGAGTATGACTGGATCCATTATCCATCCAAATTTATTCCCATAAGAAGAAACAAGTACATAAGGGAGTATAGAAGTGTAGTTTATTTAATTTATCTTCTTAAATTATGAAAATCATTTTAGTATCTATAAGTGTATACATACCTACTACCTCTAGACCAGTGATGTCCAATAAAAATATAATGTAAGCATATGCAATTTAAAATTTGCTAGTAGTTACATTAAAAAAAGTGAAAAGAAACAGGTGAAATTAATCTTAATGACGTATTTTATCTATCTCAATATATCTAAAATATTATTTCAACATATAATCAATATAAAATTGAGATATTTTTATTTTTTTATGCTAAGTTTTCAAAATCAGTGAGTATTTTACACTTAGAGCACATCACTAGCCACATTTCAAGTGCTCAGTAGGTACAAGGAGCTAGAGGCTGACCTACCAGACCAGTCTGCTCTAGGCAGGTGGCTCCCTGAGGATAAGAATGATGAACAAAGTACATAAAACAATGTTCACTTTATGGTATTTCTTTGAAACTTCAAGCAAACTAAAATCCATCCAGAAGGATTAAGTAACTCAAACACTTTCTTCCTGCTACCCATACCATAATCGTTTTCCTTCCATCATTCTTTGAGGACAAAATAAAAAAATAATAAGAAAACAGGACCATGAGAAAGTCAGCTCAGATCTAGCCCTACTTCTTTCACCATGCTGAAGGGCACCTTCAGCCCACTGGTCAGATCAAATTCTCAGCTTCATTTTATTTATCATGCCTTTAAACAAAAAGGAAGTTCCACTTATGGCAACAGTTACAAGTATGCAACATAACACTGTGTAATAATAAAAAAGGCCACCCAAGGGAGAAGCAGTGCATAAAGTATTTTATAAAACATTAGGCATGAATAATAACACATTTAATTTTAAGTATTTGAGAATGTATTTTTAAGTGAGCAAAGCTAATATACCATATTAATAAATCAAAGATAGAAACCATATTATCTCTCCATATATACTAAATGGCATTTGACAAAATTCAACTCCGATTCCTGAGGGGGGAAAGAAAACCTAAATAAAATAGGAACAGAGGGGGTGGAGCAAGATGGCGGAGGAGTAGGAGACCTGGATTTCGTCTCCTCTCAGGAATTCAGCTGGATAGGGATCAAACCATTCTGAACACCTACAAACTCAAC